CACCTCGTTGAGTTTGTAAACCAAACTAAGTTCAAAGCCTGTACATTGTGCTACCCCAGTTGGACCATCCTATCTGTTGTCTTCCTCCTACATACAAACAAACGAGAAAACAAATGTACTGCAGAGGTCTTAATGGACCTTTGGAATTTCACTTGAAACTCAACTTGAGCCGAGTAGATGTCAAGCACAAGCGCAGTGAAACATCTCATTGTTAGCCATTTCCTCAACTGCCTACAAACTACGCAGAATTCACCGAAAGGTCACCAAATTCCCTATGGATTCATATGTTAAGTGTATTGGGGCCATATAAGCATGGGATGCATGTGAGCTACCCCCGTACGTTATTCAATTTAAAAAAAAATGAAATAATAAAAAAAATACAGGCTCAAAGAGCCCCTCCATCCCTAAACAAAAGAAGTTAGACACGAACCAGGGATTTGGACCCTCTCCAGAGCTAAAATGAATTGCATGAGTCCACTTAATTTCTTGATCATAACCGCCTACTAGTTATTGTGCAATTGTGATATATCAGTGAAAAGTAAAAGAAGAGTGCAAATTAGAAGATACGGTCAATATTAGATCTGGACAAAATGATCATCCCCCTGAAGTATTATTGAACTCTTTAACATTTCCTTGAATCGTCAATATTTTATCTATTATCTCCTTTGTGCTATGTGTAGGACTAAATGTGATTATTTTGTGAGCTCACAATCAAATATTAATTAACAAGTTGATGATGTGATAGTGTTTTTCTTCTTCTTCTTCTTCTTCTTCCTTTTTTTTTTTTTTTTGCATTTCTTCTATTTTCTGCAATGCCAAGAATATTTGATGGTGTGACAGTATCTCTATTCTGTATTTTGACAGAGGAGAGAATTCAAATACCAAAAGACAAAGGTAGGAGGGAAGTTTAATTTACTACGTGGAGGGCCCTAATTAGGACAGGACAAAATTAAGTAGAATGAATACAATATTACATGGACACAACATTTAGGAAGAGGTTAGGTTTTTTATGAGGTATCTAGGATCACACCACGCTCACCCAAAAATTTTTAAAATGAAAACAAAATAAAAAAGGGAGGAAAAACAAATGAAAATGGCACTGCCCATTAAAGAAGGGCTCCAACCAAAGCCACTCATAAATAACTCGAAGAACCAACACACAACTGCTGAGAGCCAAGGGAGCATTAACTCCTACAGACTGTAAACAAACAGCTGCCAACTTATTATCAGATCTATGACAGTGAAGGAAAACAAACCCCACAAGCAAACATATGCAAAGTTTTGAATTTTGAAAGCTCTTGGAGGCCTTTAATTCATCACAGTGCAACTGTAATAATTAGAATTTCAATGAATTATAAAGGGAAGTCATATTTAAAGCTTTGCATAGAAGAATTTTTTTTTTTTTTTTGACCAGGAGAACGGTTTGCTCTTGGCTTGGTGTTTATGTATAGTATATGGTTTATGCATGCATCTTTGCTAGAGAATAAGTTAAAACTAGCTAGGGGTAATCTTGTAATATTATCCAATTGTAAATAGACCCACTATAGTTCTCTTGTTGTGGATAGACCCATAGGTAAGTTTTTGGACTCTTTTACCCTCAAGAGGTCTATTTGTCAAAAAAATAATATTTCTCTGAAGGTAAAAAGATCAAATAAAATCAGTCGGTGTTTCTATCTGTAACAATAGAACTACAGTTGGTCTATCCACAACTTGGCCAAAGTACAAGGGACTATCCTCAATGAACCCTTAAAACTAAGTGCAAGGGAAAAACAAACTGAAAAGGACAATGAAGATTAGAACTCATTTCATGTACTTAACCCCAAACAATAAGAATTTTTTATTAAACCTATAAAAGTATAATACCATATATAGGAGCAGAGTTGTGATACAGGTCATCCTTAGCTTAAAGATTCTCATGAATGCTACTTTTTGGTAGGTTTTACTTATCTTTTTCTTGGTTGAAATATGGATCCATATGATGCCCTACTATAATAATCAGGTAATGAAGCATTCATGATACTTTAATGACAGTTTGAATCTTCTAGTAGAGGACATTGACTGTACCAAGACAACTAATTTTCTTCTGAAGAGAGAAAAGTATAAAGTATAATACCCTTTTATATCAGAGAATTAAAGTTCTCTTAACTCTTTTAAAAAATGTTCAAAGTTTTTTCGTAGTTATAGCAATATAGCATACGAACTTGAGAATGAAAAAGTAGAAGTTTCAAACATATTTAATATTGCAGGTTTTGACTATCATAATGTTCGTGAAATTTATTACTATGTGTGGAGTACCAAATACTGTAGGAGGCTAGAAGACATTTAAGAACAATAATGGTATTTAGAAATAGATTTGGATCCTTTAGAAAAAGGATCCCTATTGGATTTTGAAACCAAAGTTCAAATATTTTAAATTTTTCTAAGAAGGATTTTCCTCCTCCAAATCCTTCAATAGCCAAGTCTACCTTAAGCTATTATTAACATGTTATATTCTCCAAAGCCATTCTTTTCTAAGTACTAATCAAAATACAAGGCTGGAGAAAATACAAAGAGGATGATGATAGTAATGCTGAATATCTGGCACTAATCAATATACATCAACAATAAAAAATTCTCTAAATTTGTGTATTGAAATGATCCTCTACTTTTTTCTTTCCAAGCTTCAACTACAACTTTTTTTCAAGAATTCAGGACCCTAAACAAACAAACACGACCTCTAAAAAACAAAAAGAACAAAACAACACTTACAAATTGATCTTGATTCAACTCATACTATGATTGCCAACTTTGTTCTGCCTTCCAACAATCCATAGCAATGTTCTCCTTGCAAACGATGGTGCCTCCTCAATCTGAGACCCCATACTCATAATACTATTATTGCAACTCCCAACCTCAACATCCAAATCCATATCAACTCCAAACTCTGATACAGTCCTCGGACTAGCACTAGGCTTTTCCTTCGAATTTGAAGCTTCATTATGCAATGGCAACCGAAATGAGAAAGCTCTTCTTGAGCTATCCTCGCTTGTCGCCTCATCCTTCTTTGATCGAAGCCAAATCTTCGAAACAGAGAAGCTTTCTCTCTTATTAGTACTGATTCTAGCACTCCCACTATCCTCTTTGGATTGGAATCTCTTCGAGGAATTGAACCCTTTGAACCCTTCTCTTCTCGAATGGCAATCGCATTCAGACATTGCATATCCTGGCTTTTTGAAGCGATTTGGTTTCTTCTTCGATGGTTTAATGGCTACCTGAAGAAAAGAGGCCTCATTCATCACATACTCATAGGATCCCATAGAAAAACACCTTCTCTGATCCAAATTGCTATTGCCAGTACTACTCCCTTCACCCCCACAAACACTAGAATTGTCAGCTTTTGTGAATTTTCCAAGCTTAACTTGAACAACTTTGGTATCTGAAACATCAATTGGAGATGATCCCACATCCTCTTTTCCCCCAAATTCCCCTACTTTAGTCGAATTTTCGACAACCAAAGGCCCGAAATCATCTTCTTGCTGGAAACCCATATGGCTATTTTCATCAGACTCCCCTCTTCTCTGAGAGGAACCAATCCCAATCTCTCTAGAGCTCTCACTCCCTGATTCAAGAACAAGAACTACAGGGCTGCAGCTATGATTGGGAGAGAACTCAGGAACAAGGTTACTTCTACAAAGAGGGCAAGTTGAGTGAGACAAGAGCCAGGTATCAATGCACTCAATATGGAAAGCATGGCTGCACTTTGGCAAGAGCCTGAGCTTGTCATCAGACTCAAACTCACAGAGGCAAACAGCACAATCAAAAGGATCTTTGAGGCCTATAATGGCTTTGTAGAGGAAAACAGGGAGAGTATCAATAAAAGATTGATCCACTCCAGAGTCATGCAGGTGAAAGAGCTGCTGGAGTTGGCCCTGAAGAGCTGTGACATTATCAGAGTCCTCTGGATCTCTGTTTGTGGGTCTCAGTAAGTATCTAACTAAGAGATGGAGGAGGCCAGAGATGAAGAAGATGACCGCTAAGATTACGATTATGAGGAGAACGCTAGGGCTTATTTTGTTCTCTAGATTTGATTCTGATACAGGAGGAGGAGGAGGAGGAGGAGAGAGTAAATTCTCATTCGTTGGTGATATGCTTTGATGAAGAACCCAATTCATGATTTTCTACAGGAGAAAGAGTTAGAGAGAGAGAGAGAGAGAGTTAGAAAGAGAGAGAGAGAGATTACCCACAAGAGCTCAAGGGAGGAGAAGACCATGAAGGGTTTTGTCCTGTAAATTCATAGAGAAGTTGAGATTCAGAGGCTAGAGAAGAGAAATGGCAGGTCAATGAGAGAGAGAGAAAGAGGAGATGGGATCCTTAATGGGTGGAGAAATAAATGGATGGCCAGCAAATGGAAAGATAATTAAATGGAATTAATGAATTGATTGCAATTGAAGAGAGAAGGAAGGCAATAATTTTGAAGCCAGTAGTATTTAGTGTTATGGTAAAATTGTTACTGGGACAGAATGATAGAAAATTACTGATTAAGGTTGGTAATTTGGAGAGGTGAATCATTTTTTAACCTGTTAACCCTTTCTTACTTCCAAAGCTTCTAACTTCCCTTCTGTTTGACTTCCCAGGAACCAGTTGCAGCAAACTCGATGCCGCATTTAAGTTCAACCCACATAAAATAAACTTGGTGCCTGATTTCATTGGTTTTTTGCTCAAATAATTACCAAGGGGTCATTAATTGACTTCTCATAGGCTTTGTTGTTTTCTCTAGCTGGTTAACTAGTTTATTTTTCCTCCAGAACTCAGTATTTCAAGTAGTGTTTTTTTAGTTTTTTTTTTTTTTGGGCAAATGCGTTGTATATTCACTATAGTGGAATATTATGATTATGATTTTAGTATTTTTTTTATTTTCACCCTAAAAATTATTATAAAAATTATAAATTTTAATAAGATAAGAATTGCAAAACCAATAAGATAACGTGGTAAGAGCATCTCCAACAGCTTCTCCAAAATTTTCTTCAAAATGGGGAAGCAAAAGTCATATTCTCCAACTAATTTTTACACCAACTCCAACAGCTTCCCCATTTTGAAGAATCCATTTTTTCCTCCAAAAATTTGGAGAATGCTGCAGATTTGGGGAAGCTTCCCCATTTTTTCTCCTTCATCCCTATTTTGGGGAATGAGATGGGGACTCTGTTGGGCCAAAAACCTAACTAAATTCTCCAAAAGTGAGAAATGGGGAAGCTGTTGGAGATGCTCTAACATTTCTAAGAATCGATTTTTGAAGTATATAGTGTTACTTTTTATTGCATTAGATCCAATAGAATGTCTTCACTCTTAATATGAAGAATGCATAGGAAAAAGACAAGGCATAAGAAGCTTTTACATGGATGATGATCAATATCTTTGTAGTTGGAAACCACTCAAGCATAAAAATACAGTAGATATAAGATGAGAGGAAATTAAATATTTTATAAAAAAAATAGACATTTTTTTATAAAGAAAAAATGAAAAGTTGCATGCTTAAATAGTTTTCAACATTTGTCACTATCTGCAACCAGCAGCTATTTTAGTATAATACTGTAGATTGTCATGGATACGAGGTTTTCGTAGAGTTTATACTTTGTTATATTATTTTCAATCCTAGAATACTTGGTTGTTTTAAAAGAATAGCATCAATTGTATTGTTACTGTCATAGTACTTAGATGCTATGATTTCGATATACTATAAGATTCAAACATATTTTTATAAGCAGAGACACGCATGCCATGTTTAAAATTTCTAAAAACCAATATACATTTATGTTCTGGAACTTAAAAGTAGTATAAAATTTTAGTACAGTAAGAAGTATGACTTGATTTTTCTTAGAAAAAAAATAAGAAATATGAATTTACATGACGTTTTGCTAGAACATTTCCGTATGTAATTTACAATTTGTTGATACAATAGTTAATTAGAATGCAATTATGTGATCCATACATAATAGAGAGGCGAACGATCCTTCATCCCATGATACTCAAATCTCACGTTATCACAAAATGTGCCGCCAAAAGAGGAAGCCATTGGACCAAACGAGAGGGCTTGGCTTTCTCTAGGCCTAGTGTTTTTCTACATTTTGGGGATTAGATCTATTCTAATTTATTCTTTTTAATTTTACTTTTTGATGAAAAACTAGGGAAGTGGGGGTGACATGGAAATATGGAGCCCCACATAGGAGTGAGCAATGGAGACTTAATTGTTGAGATCTTGGAAATATATATTTTTTGAAGATGGTGGTGAGGATTTTAAAGCTTTTGGTCTTTGATTCTATGGTAAATATTTTGGTGTTTTTGGAGTGTGGACTTGTCAGTGATTGTCAATTGTTGCCTGCATTCTGGTATTTTTGATCTCTTTAGATTGGTCAATATGAACATTGCAATGTGAGTTGAGACCCGTAACAGTTGACCAAGGGGAAAATATAGTAGTTTCCTTCATAGACATTATTAGGTGGAACTTATTGGGGATTGTTCAATAATAATGTAATCAATAATAGAAGATTCCAAAGTCCACATTTTCGATTACCATGATCCACGATTGCTTTTCATCAAATACTGCACTTTGTATTTTTAGGAGAAGACAATGATTCTACTTTATGGCCTTGAAGGTCAAGGAGTTGAGATTCGGTACGGGAGGAGTGAGTCCTTGCACTAAGTATACTAGCCATAGATTTGTTTTCTAAGTAAGACGTAAGACTCCCACATGTTTCCTACCAATCAAATTTCTTTTGTAAATTATCTTCGCATTGTATTCGGCCTTGGTCTTGAACTTGTCAATTCCTGCATCAGTCTATAGAAATTGTGGTGCATTAAGATTATATTCATCTCTATTAGATCTAGGACCTGTTTGGCAATTCCACTTTTTTTTTAAGTAAAAATAGGGCCGAAAGCCCTATCATTGAAAATATATATACCTGTTGTTAAAAGTTTTACAAAAGAAAATATCTATGTAGAAACATGCTCCTCCTCCGAGGTGGGGGAGGCATAATCCTAGATAGATATATGATTAGTACATTCTAGAATCAATATAGGTAGCAGTTCAGGCAGTTGATACAGCCCTCTCTGCCTCTAGCTCTCTGAGACTGTATATCCCGTCAAGGGGGATTGGATCTAAAGCTCCGCAGTTAGAGAGAACTGAGGCTAACATGTGGTCTGGTTGGTGACCGAGAGTGAGAGAGACTGAGCTTGATGAAGAGGATTTACTGCGCTTTGCTGATGAAGCCCGAGATTTGGATGCGGCTAGTTGACGGTTGAAGGCTTTGTGAGGAAAAGTCGTCCTCACCTTCGCCTTGGAGACGCTTGTGAGGAAAAGTCGTCCTCACCTTCGCCTTGGAGACGCTTCTCTTCTTGCGGCCCCCTGCTAGGTGCTCGAAGCCCGGGGGAATGCCTCACCTTCGCCTTGGAGACGCTTCTCTTCTTGCGGCCCCCTGCTAGGTGCTCGAAGCCCGGGGGAATGGAGACTAATTCGCTGTCTGTGGGCAGGCTGGGGGAACCTGAAGAGGAGATGGGACCTGAGCGTGGTGGCAATTCCACTTAAAACTGATATAATTGAATAAATTCAATTTAGTCAGGTCCTAGTTTAGCAAAAAAGGTCTATGAATTAAACAAGTTTTGTCTATCGACCTTAAATTATTTTATTTTGGTCCACTTTTTGTTAGAGCTGGAAAGTTTCCTAAATATGTGTTGGATAGCAGGTTCCTAATATGTTTCCTAATTTATTTTGGTAACAGGTTATTGTGATTCCTAATCTGTTTTGGTAACATGATTCCAAATATATTTTGCTAACATGTTATTAGGATTCCTAATCTGATTTGTTTTTTGTATTAGAATTCCTAGTATGTTTATGATTTTAGGATTTCTATATATATGGAACAATTGGAAGAGAGAATTGAGAAGAAAATTAAGGATATTTGGAGCGCAAAAAAGAGGTATTTTCTGAGCTATTGGTTAGGGTTTTGTTTGAAGAGAATTAGAGATTTGTTGGTGAGATTAATTGGTGAGTTTGAGTGATTTATACTCTCAGTTTGTACTCTTCTTCTCTATTAGTGAAAAACCCTATCCCCTTCTTGCCTCATGGACGTTGGTAACTTGCCGAACCACGTTAAAATTGGTTGTTTGTATTTGTGATATTGATTTGGTTCGTTTGGCCTTCTCTCGACGTTCGTTTGATTTGATTTATCGTAGCATGTTGGTTTGGTTGTTTGGCTTCCGCAGCGCTCAACAAGTGGTATCAGAGCTCGGGCTACGCTTGGGCTATTTGGAGGAGTAGGTCGTTTTGGAGGCTCGCCTAGGGCTTCGTTTGGTGATAAAAGTGAGATCTTTTTGGTAAAGACTCTATCTTTTTTAGTTTTGGATCTATTCTTTATTTGTTCTGTATTTATTTTGGTGCTTTGAAAAAGATGGTTGGGAAAGAAGGGGTTATGGAGGGTACTTCCGGCATGAAGACCGTCTAAAGTTTGAATATTCACTCTATGAAGATAGGTGTGGAGAAGTTTAATGGCATAAATAATTTTGGTCTTTAGATATGTGAAGTCTTGGATGTGCTCAATGTGCAAAATTTGGAAGATACTTTAGAGTTAGATGGGAAACCGGACGACATTGAGGAGAAGGTTTGGAAAAAGATGAATAGAACGGCATGTGGTGTGATTAGATCTTGTTTGACTTAAGATTTAAAATATGATGTGATCAATAAGACTTTGGCTAAGAAGATTTAGGAGATCCTAGAGCGTAAGTATTTGACCAAGAGTATAGAAAACCGCTTGTATTTGAAGAGGAGGCTTTATCGCTTTCAATTGAAGAAGGGGACCTCCATCGGTGATCACACGAACCACTACACGAAGCTTCTTGCGGATTTAGCGAATATAGATGTGATGATTGAAGATGAGGACAAGGCATTATTGTTGTTGAGTTCCTTACCTGACGAGGAATATGAGACATTCGTTCTTACTCTTATTAATGAGAAGGTATCTCTTTCATATAGTGAGGTCATCGCTGCACTTGTGAATTATCAGCTTCGAAAAAAGGATAAGGATACTTTAGTTGAGCCGGTAGCGGGGGCATTGATCGCAAGAGCAAAGAGTCCAAACCGTGGTAGGAGGTCGCAGTCTAGAGGGGCACATCTTAAAGTTCGTAGGAATCAGTGTGTCTTTTATAAAGAGGATGGACATTGGAAAGTCGAATACCCAAAGTTGGTTGATCGAGACGGGAAGAATAAGGAGAATGTTATTCAAGCTTCAGAGGTAAATGTTGTCAAGGCTAGTAGTAATAATTCAGATTCAGATTCTTCGGGCTACTCGTTATCTGCACTACCGTCATTTTGTGTTACCGACTCTACAGAGTGGATGTTAGATTCGGGTGCTTCTTACCATATTTATCCTAGGAGAGATTGGTTCTCCAGCTTTCAGGAGTTGAAAAGAGGGGAGGTCATGCTCATGGATAATG